AGCCCTGGGCTGTCCACCACATTGAGCGCAGCCCGGCAGATTTTCTTTTCCTTTTTTTTTTTGTTTTTTTGTTGGTTTGTTTTTGTCCTTTTTGAGACCGGCCGCACCGCGCTCAGCCAGTGAGCGCTATGAGCGCACTGGTCATCCCTATATAGGATCCGAACCTGCGGTGGGAGTGCTGCTGCGCTCCCAGCGCTGCACTCTCCCGAGTGCGCCACGGGCTCGGCCCTTCTTTTCCTTTAATAAAACTTGATTGGGTCCCCGGCATCTCAGCTCACTTTCTTTCATTATGGTGCTGAAACCCAGGAAGGATTTTGGCTGATGCTATTGGACAGTCCCCGCCTGGGTTGATTGGCCCTTGGCCACCCTTCCTGGACCTGCCAAACTGGGTACCTCCTGGACTCTCTCCTTTTGCCGTTTCAGACTAATGTGAGTCAGTGGGTCAGTCCCCTCTTGCTTTGGGTTCCCCTGACTCGCTTTCTCTCTCATTCTCAAAGCCTAGGCGCCTGGCCAGGGGAACTCCTCTCATGCCCCCCAGCTATTGGAGGACGCTTCATTAACTGGTCATGGCTTTTCTCTTGAAAAGAAGGTGGACAACAAAGAGGACACTCTTTGTTGGCACTCTTCTTCTACCAAGACTGCCAGTTCCCTTTCTCACCCTCTAAATGGGATCTTCATAATCCAGACCTCCACGTTTTACACCCTTGGGCTGTCTTCTGGCCAATTTACCCCTTGGCCTCCAGGGAGACATGAAACCAAGATGTCTTGTTTTCTACTGTACTCCGTGCTCTACGCCTCTGGGCTGTCTCCTGGACAATTTCTCAGCCTCCAGGGAGACATAAAAACTCGAACCCCTCATTACAGTGGATCCCAGTGGCCACAAGATGGAACTCTCGATTTAGATACTCACCAAAATGGAAAAAGTGGGAGAGATACTTTATGTTCAAGCCTTCCTCTATCTCTGAATGCATTCTTCTCTCTGTCAAAACTGTCCTACATCTCAAATTCTCCTAACTCATGCCCGACCTCCCCTTTTGGACTTGGATTAATCTTTTAATCTGTCAGAGTACTCTGCTCCCTGTATGGGCCACCTTGACTACCTCTGTATGCTCCAAATCCTTCACCAGCCCCTCCAGCTTTTCCCTCTTTTCCCCCTCAGCCAACCCCCCTCACTTTCTTCCCCTTTATCGGGTAACAACCCTGCCTCAGTTCCGGCTCCTTTATATCCTCTCCATGAAGTGGCTGGGATGGAGGGATTGTTCGAGTTCATGTCCCCTTTTCTCTTTTGGACCTTTCCCAAATCAAAAAAACTACCGGGATCCTTCCAGTCCAACCTAGACATGTATCTGTCCCCTGAGGACAAGGAGCAGGTCTGGATAGTGGCCCAGTAATAGGCAGATGAGGTACATGCTCAAAATAATAGGTGGACTGTGGGAGCTGTTGCTGTTCCTTGCATGGACCCAAATTGGGACCACCAGGCCAGCCATGGGGATCGGGATCTCCAGGATAACATGATCACACACTTGATTTACAGCCTCCAAGAGGCTACTAATTCCTAACCCACCTCTCTGAGGCTGTACATAAATACACACGTATAGATCCAAACTCCCCTGCAGCATGGCCCTTTTACACTACCTCCTCAACACAGCTTTCAAGGTTTTTAACAATAGACAGAAAAAAAAGAAAGATTGTTACAAAAGAGGTCAGGTCAAATACCACCTCCTGGTTAATGCCATCCATGGCTCACACACTCCAAAGCTGGCTGCCTCTAGGGGCAAGCCACCCAGGAACTGCTTCAAATGTGGTCAACTGGGCCACTGGGCATGGGCCTGTTCCAACCCCAGGCCTTGTCCTCACTGCAAACAGCCAGGTCACTGTGGGGATTGACTCTTCCATTCGCCAGAGAGGGAGTTACCCAGTCCCCAGCCCACAGCTTTTGGCTTCACAGCCATCCCTACCGGAACTTCTTGGCTTTGCCCAAGAGGAGGACTGATGATGCCGAGGGCCTGAGGCCCCGATGGAGATCACCATGTGTGAGCCCAGGGTAACTTGCCTCGTGGCAGGTAAGCCCATCTCTCTTTTGTCATCGCAAGCCACCCAGGAACTGCTTCAAATGTGGTCAACTGGGCCACTGGGCATGGGCCTGTTCCAACCCCAGGCCTTGTCCTCACTGCAAACAGCCAGGTCACTGTGGGGATTGACTCTTCCATTCGCCAGAGAGGGAGTTACCCAGTCCCCAGCCCACAGCTTTTGGCTTCACAGCCATCCCTACCGGAACTTCTTGGCTTTGCCCAAGAGGAGGACTGATGATGCCGAGGGCCTGAGGCCCCCATGGAGATCACCATGTGTGAGCCCAGGGTAACTTGCCTCGTGGCAGGTAAGCCCATCTCTTTTGTCATTGATACAGGGGCCACTTAACTCTACCCTTCCTGAATATGCAGGACCAACAGCCCTGTCCTCTATCACAATAGTAGATGTCATGGGATCAGAATACCACCCACGGATCACTCAACCCCTTTCCTGTACCCTACATCACATCCAGTTCACACACTAATTTTTAATAATGCCTCAATGCCCAACCCCCTTACTGGGATGGGGCGTTCTTTTCAAAATCAAAGCTACTCTTACCCTAAACACTTTTACTCCAGCTTCAGTACTCCTGTTACAGGCCACTCCCAG